ACACACACACACACACATAAACCCTAACAAAAAAAACACTAACAAAACCTTACTATTTTAGCTCATAATACTAACAACAACCCTAACTACAAATAAATAAACGCAACTAACATAAACCCTAACTACTATTTTTGCAAGACAGAAACTTTTTTTTGAATATTATGTTTTTTGGAAGTACTTTGAACTATTTTATCATGTTTTGGTGGTTGGGTAAACTTGGGTTGATGAATTGCAGTATCTATTTTGAATATTATGTTTTTTGTCACGTGGCGACGCCATATTTGCGCCATCGCCATCGCCATGGAAAATGGCCTGTGCGCCATGGGTTGCGCCATGCGCCATGACAACTATGACATTAATGTTAAAAAATTCTAGAAGTTTAAGCCTTTGACGTATTGTAACAGAATAGCAATTCTAGCCCACACTCTTCAATATGGTTATAATTGGTCACTAAATTTTTATTCATTTAACTATTTTGTCATTCAGCAGCCTACTTTTTCCCCCAATGTTACGATTCGAAAAATGATGATTAATTTTCTCTCTTTGGTATGGAGGACTAACACCCACAACATGCTCACATTGATAATTGAGTAAAAGAGCTATGACCATAACTCAAGAACAAAAGAAACACTTTTCACCAGAAAGACTATGCTGACCTGCTCTTGCCAGAAGTAGGATCCTTTATGAGAGATTGGATAGCAGCTACATGAATTAGATCATAACTCCGAGGGTAAGTAGAGAAAGGTTCACACCTAAAATGAATAATAAACATTAATCAAGCTCAAATTCTTGATGTGTACACTCTAAGGGACCAACTTTCAAATGTTGGGATAAAATCGTAAAACACATCAAAGAAAGTTAACTTTCTAGCGATGTGTAAGGAGCAGCAAGCATATTAGCCAACATTTCAAATGTTGATTTTATATTTATTTGAAGGAATTAATAAATGATATCCCTTCAATCATTATAATCTCATAAAATAATGATATCCATTTTTTATAGTTTAAGACAAAAAATTGCTTTAGGAGGTCTTGAAAAGTTCAGGAATAAATACCAATTATGGTAAACCCCAATAAGGCCTCTATCGTAGATGACCTCAAGTGTCAAAGTTTTACGAGCTGGAACAACATTCATCACCCAGACAGGATCTGCAGACAATGCTGCAGCAAAGCCTCCTAAAAATGCATTCATGTCCATGACATTTCGTATGGCTGGAGTTCCTAGCTTCAAATTCAATGTTTTCTTATAGTATGCTACTCTCCTTGCCCATCTTCTGTTGTCGGCTTCAAACACATCCAATCCATATTTTAATGCAGTAGCCCTGGAAGAAGCTTTCATCAGCCTCTTTGGCCATTCCGGAATGGTACCAATAGCAAAATTTCCTTCAGCAGAATAGGTCTTGCTGACACATTTTTTCAGCTTTACATACCTGTCAATTTATTCGGATGAACAAACACAATTAATACCTTCGTCCCAAATTAATCGTTAAACCATGCCAAAGATTGTCCAAATGCCTAACTCAGATAGTCCAAAGAGGGTGAGATGTACCCAGACTTTACCTCTATCCCCAAGAGTACAGAGACCCTTCCATTAAGACCCCCAAACTAATTGTGGTTTGAGAAAAATTGATTTGTCCCCAAAAATCTGACTCTAAGAATTCAATGCATACTTCTTACTAATCTTCCATCATGCCAAATCAACTCTTCCTAAATTATCTGGTTTTGTACCTCAAAAAGAAAATAAATAAATTTGTTGTTAAAGTTAGGTGAGCGTAGAAGAGTCACTTTTCCTTAAATATTGTGTACTTCTATAAAACATCGATCCTTTTGGGACGGAGGATCTAGTAAATTAGATAAGCTTCCATCAACTATGTAAATGAAAATGTTAAAAGGTGAATAATTCACCATGCAACACTTGGTTCATCAGAGTCACCACACAAATCAAGCCCAAATTCACTGTGGGTTTGAAGACATGAATCCCCAATAGGCTTCTTCCAAATGGCTGTGTTACCATCCACAACAATCAGTTCAAAACACAATGATCTGCCCACAGCTTGAAGATCTGCCCATTCCTTATCTTGTTTAGGCCATTGTACAGGAGGACCAGATATGACTAGGTAGCCTCCTGGTCGAAGTAGCCGATCAACCTCAATAAAGTATGATGCATCTGCATTTGTTATCTTACAATCAGAGGCAGTAGTACTATAGTAGGACAGTGAAAAAGGTCAGGGGAAATAACTTACTATGTGCTGTAAATGGAGTTGAGCAGTGAGAGCAATGCACCAAATCAAATGAAAACGCAGAAACTGGAAGCCTATAAGTCCCTAGAGTAGTAGAAATTGCTGGCACTCCTCGTTCCAATGCAAATTGTACTTTTTGTTTGCTAGAATCTTTTGGGGCAAAAGAAAGGGTCAGCATGTCTTCAGAAAGTAGTAAACCACCAAAGCTCCCAACCTAAGCGTAGAAAGAACAATTATAGTTTCAGATATAACCAAATAGATGATCTGAAAGAAAAAAGAACCCAATTTGTACCCCAGAATCGATATCAAGAGCGGTCCTCAAAAGTCCACCAGCTATGGGAATATATTGTTTGAGCTTATCAATATATTGCAGTGCTCCATCCGGGAACAAATGGCCCGCATCAGGAAAGGTAAAGTAAGGACCTTCTTCTTTCATCCATCGTCCATGGCCTTTCCAGTTAGCTATTTTCCTGAAAGGCATGTTGTCGTGCCATATCTGCATAGTAAAGACTATCAATCCAATAAAATGACAATAAATGCCTGACATTTGGATGGAAGTTTAGCACAAAGAAGGAGAAAATCACTAAAAGTCCCTGCTTTATAATATCTGCATGGTAAAGACTATCAATCCAATAAAATGACAATAAATGCCTGACATTTGGATGGAAGTTTAGCACAAAGAAGGAGAAAATCACTAAAAGTCCCTGCTTTATAAACTAGTTCAAGGACAAAACAGCTAAACAGGAGCAACCATCCATACAGTGATATAGAAAATAGGTAAAGTATAGCAGATTCAGCCGACCAGATATAAATGAAGCCTCTTCACCTCTTCCGCTCTGGAACTCTAAATAGCATTTCCACGAACAAAATATAAGCATCTAGCTAGTTTCAGCATGCTTTAACGCAAAAAACAAAGATCACAGTCTAGCTATAGACCCTGAAATTAAAGAACTCGTAAACTTATTTGGAAAGCAGTTAAACGCATTCAAATTATTAACAATCACCTTGTGCAAACTTTCCGGCCACTGAACCGGAACTCGATATCCAACAGGCGGCGGGACCAAGCAAAGCGGGGTCTCTTCAGGCAAGAGGCAATGTTTATCCCTGTACGCCCCGCGATCCTCACAGGGCATGTAGTCGGCGAATTCGGCAGGGCAGGCATCGATGGGGGAAGGGTTGCGGCCCGCCTCGATGAGCGCGGCGAGGCGTCTGCGCTGCTGCGAGCCCTCGAGCAAGGACTGCCGGCCGGAGGCGGCGAGGGAGTCACCTAGCGGCGTGAGGAGGAGGAGGAAGAAGACAAAGACGGCTGCAAACAAGGCCGCCGACACCAAGTCCAGTAGCCCCCTTCGCTGATGCGGTTTCCGCTTGGAGGAGTGTATAGTCAAATGGCCCATTACGTTCACATGCACTTGTTTGTTCCTAATCAAACACGATCGATCTCGATCACACACATATGGAGGAGTTCAAATGAAGCAAACGAAGCAGTGAAAAAGCAAATATGCCGTTTACCCAATTACAGTGATTTTGAATTTGGGACGTCCATCAAATATATGGAGTATTTAGAATGCTTTTGGTAAGAGTGAAATTTATTAAATTTTGGTTAAATTAGTTGGATTAGGTTGATTTATGGAAAAATTATATTTAAAATATTTTTTATTATTTAAGAAAATAGTTAAAATGATTCTTTACAGTAACTTCACCAATACAATCAGAAAAATAGCTGCAACCTTACCATTTCTCAGTAATATATATGTCCAATAATCAATGATAAAAACTTTTAATCACAGAGTAGAGATCAAATACAAACTACAAATTTATTTTGACCATCCTATGAGTTGATCTAAAGCTATAAAGACAATGTCATTTTTGTAATAAAAACAACTTTTTTAAGATTCAATTCTTTAAATGTTAATATGCAACTTCTATTTTATAACCGAATATATGCAACACTTTAAGGGTATGTTTGGCAATTGGCTTATGAGCCAGCTTTTAGCTTGTTTGACCCATTTCAGCTGTTTGATTAGTCAAAGAAGCTAATAATAATGTTTGATAAATGGCTTTTAAAATTAGCTTGTTGAGTTTGAAAAGCTGAAAAAATGGATGGTGGAAGAAGCTAAGGGGAGCAACTTCTTCATTTGGCTGGTTCAATTTACACTCTATCAGCCATTTCGAAACAGCCAATTTTACCAAACGGTTATTTATAATCAGCTAACATAACCAGTCGGTCAAAACAGCTAACACAACCAGCTGTTACGAAATAGCTGACACAACCAGCTAACAGCAATAGCTAACAACCATTTACCAAACAAGGCCTAAAGCTCAATATGGAATATAAATAACTTAAAGATAAACCGTACACTACTAGAAAAATGCCTTATAGTGACACCAAATTAGTGTCACTAACAGGCTTATGTGACACTAAAAAAGTATCGCTGAAGGTGGGGGCTAGTGACACTAAAAAAGTGTCACTAAAAGTGTCACTGAATTATGACGCTGTAGTATCACCAAATAGTGATACATATGCGACACAACCGTTCAACGACACTTTTACATCACATATGTTAATGACACTGTGGTATCACATAATTCCGTTTTCCATCCAAGCAAAATGATAATTTAGTGACGCTTTGGTATCACTTTGTTGTGTATTGTTTCAGCATTCCAAAACAATTATAATTTTGAAATTCCAAATCAATTATATTTTAGAAATTTCAATTCAATATTCAGTGAACCCATAAACGATAACAAAATAAATAAATCTCAAACTATAAATTGAACGCTTAAAGTAGAATATTCAATTCAAATTCAAGTATATATATTGTTGTTAAATTTTGCATTCTAAGCAACTACACAATTTAGTCCCAAAAAGTGAGTCGCCTACACGGATTACACCACTTCACAAGTACACATCGCCTTCACATCATCAAATCTTCATAGCAGCATCATTCATCAACACTGAAAAACGACCGATACACTCGATTAATGATATAATTATAAAAACTACTCATACACTCAATTAATCATACAATTATAAAAACTACTCAACACTGAAAGCTCAAATGCAATCAGCTTCCTCAAAATGTAGTATTCTAAAGACAGTTATTCACAAGACAAATATGTTCTATTGTGTGGACCTGGGAATATCCAGATATTTGTTTCTAGTGAAACAGCTCTAGCTGGGTAATAAATCAATTCCATATGCTACATCAAGGAGCAAGTAAAATAAATCACAGTCACTTTAATATGCTACATCAAGGAGCAATTCCATATTATTTTCAACTATATTCAATTCATGCATCTGTTTTTTCAAGTCCATACCTGAAGCACTTTCTGGATCAAAGTCTTTCAGCTTCTCCAGCCCTTTTTTCAAATCCTGATAATGTTTTTTAATCAAAAAAGCGTTGAAACATAATGTTTAGAAACCTTATACATGAGAGAAATGTGTTACCTAGACATGTCATTGTAAAGAGCTCTCTTACGTAGTAGTACGAATCACATGGAGCACTGATCATTATAAACCGTTAGGTATACCATCAAGAAATCTTTGATAAAACCCCTATTCCATTAAACATAATTTTTTTGAATAAATTAAAATAATTTAAAACTAACTTAGTCTTTGTCATAGTTAAAAATAAAAAATCAACATATGAAATATAAGAGCTTGTCCAAAGTGCAATCACAATTGTTGTGTTAATAGCTTCGTAGATCAGAAACTTTAATACTCACTGCAATAACCCAAGCTCTAGCTGCGCAACTGGGGTCTCTGCACAGAGGAAGTAGTCCTTATTTTGAGGTGTCCCAATATCTTACTACAGTTAAGAACTAAATACACAAAAGCTATTGAGAAAAGCAATTAAACAAGTGATGCAACTTTAGAGTTTGCCGCACTGTAGTCAAGCCTAATTATCATCACTCCATCCTTCAGACATTAGGAACTTGAAAGAGTCCTTAAAAAGAGAGAGAAAACAGAAGCTGATCTTTTAAAAAAAAACATGAAGCACTTAAGATGGATACAGATACAACAACCATCATATTTTGGAAGCCCAGTGCAGTGCTGCACCTATTGAAAGAAAAAAGTAAACAAATCAATAAAAAGAGAGAATTGACCAGTTAGAGATGGATGTGGATGAAGAAACTCCAAAAAACTTGCAAGGAGTCATGATGTCCATTAGCTGTAGAACAGTGAAAAGTATGTGTTTGGGGAAATAATGGTACCAGTTAGTCTGCAATGTTGAATTACCATAAATAGATGCATTTGAACAAAAATGTACGTCATGTGTCCCATTTATTTGTCTTGGGAAAGTCTAAAGATGTTTTCAACTCAATCTTTGTTAAATTTAATGTAATGTATGCAAATAAATTACCATATTAGAAGGTACATATAAAATCCTACAAACGAGTAGCGCCGTGGCTATTTAATTATAAATGAATATTAACAAAAGTTAACAATGAGATTGTAGTTAGAGTAACTATTAGTTGCTTATCATTAGAATAGAGGGAGTACAAAATAAGACATTTTTACATCGGAAATTGTTTTTATTTAGCTTTAGCACATATGTGGATACAAAATTTTCAATTGTAATACAAGAACAATTAATATATTTTGATTTCTTTTATTTTTAAAACTAAAATTATATTAAAAGACATTAGATGAGGTCAAACGCTCTTCCAAATGGAGCTTTACAAAGAAGAGAGGTTGAGAAAGTCAGCAAACTACATACCTCATACACAGAAAATGCATCATAGGTGAATTCCAATAATGCCTTTTTCATATCAGGTTGAGAACAGCCAAACATCACACCAGCATGGTGGCATTGCAGCTTTCCCTTGCAATGGGAATTATCTCTTCTACCAGTAACAAGACAGAGAAATTCTGAGATACAGCTTGAATCATTACATTTTCCAGCTGACAAAAAAAATCAGACACCAAACATAAGCAGGAGTGAATCAACTATTGCCATTCTTTTACTTTTAGGGAAAGACTCACGTGATGCGTGAGGTAAAGTTCCACTAAGATATTTCTCATGATCTATCATTATGTCAGTAAGGTTATCTTCATCATTATCAGAGATATGCAGATCCCATGGCAGAACTAGAGCCTCAACAAACACACTCAGCTTACTTGAAATTCCATGATGACCTTGATATTGAAAAACATGAATATGGGATAAAAGAAAGAAAGAAAAGAAGATACATCACAAATTCACAACTCAAAGTAAACAAATCAATAAAAAGAGAGAATTGACCAGTTAGAGATGGAAGAGATGTAAAACCAGCAAGATAGTTCCTCAAACGCGTATAACAAGAATAAAGCGTATAGCATGATTTTTTTGACAGCTGGTTCTATCTTTGTATGCGTGTAAAAAGAATAAGTAAGTTTTGACTTGTGTTACCTTATTTTGAATTATGGTTCCTTAAAACTTCAAGACACATAGAGCTTTAAAAAGAAATGATGAGTGAGACAACCCATAACGGAAAGTAGGACGTTTATTTCTTGATGGATGATGTATTGATTAATTATTACCTAGCAAGAATCCATTAGCCTAAAAACCTAAATATCCATCAAAGAAATTAAGCAGAATCGCATCCTCTATTGAAAACCAACTGGATCTGCTAAACGGCAGGCCAGCAGCCAGATTTCCTCAACCAGAGAATTCTCAGAGCATAATATCCCCAACAAATGGCTATATTCACTTAACCCAAAATATCCAGGAATACCCATGTACCCCTAATCAACACTTAATTAAATATAATAAAATAATATCTAAAACTGAAAAGGAAAATATAATTTACAGCATCCTGGGAAAAAAAATCATTTAGATGCTCAAATAATGAAGATAGAAAGCCAGTAGCAAACAGTAAGAAACTAGTCCAACAACGCAAAAAAAAAATCAAGACACATAGAGCTTTCTGCTAAAATAATAGTTATGCAACACTTACTATCAGCACAAAAAAGTGTCAAATACAGATAACAATTTCACAGTATTCAAACGAACCCTAAATTTTAGATATTAGAATTTTTGGATTTCAAATCAGCAGTGAAACTGAAAGTTTGTTCATATGAAACCTGAAGGTCAAGGTTGTTGATGCTCTCTGCTTCTTCTACAATGCGTAACCTGTGCTTAACCAAAGCTTCAAGGAACGGGTGCTGCAAATTAAAGGATTTGAAAGGCCGAAAACAATAGATGGATCCCAGAAAGAATTGTGTGACAAAGAGGAAGGAATTGATAGAAGAGGTAGGTGCGAATAGATATCTGTGTAGGGCCACTGAATCATGGGATTTCTGATATGCACCTTTACTCGGTTCGACCAAGGATTCCTGATGGAATAGGCGGCCTCGTCTTCGATCGAGAGAGGAGAAGAATCGATCGATCTCTGAGGTCGTAGCTAGGGTTCTTGCTCTCTGAAGGAGAAGAATCGATCGATCTGAGCTCTGAGGTCTTCCGCTAGCTAGGGTTCGTGCTATGTGCTCTGTCTGTGGAGAAAATAGATGGTCCAGGTTTGAGGAAAAAAACGGAAGTGTTAGCTAGCGTAAGAATAAACGAACTTGTGATGACGAGCCGGCCCATTTAGGGGAATACATACGCGCCTATACTTAATTGATTAGCTTCCAATTGAATAAAAGTGTCACTATTTGACGGTGATATTTTTGTGTTACATATTAGTGACACTTCTGTATCAATAGTGGTATTTGACATAAAAGTGTCACTATAAAAGTGTCACTGTAAGCCTGTTTTTTAGTAGTGGTACAAACATAACCATAGTTTGTATCTAAACCATTACATGTGTAGGGTTGATTTCTAATGAGAAGACATCTTAATGAGAAGTCAGAAATTACACATTTACCTCTTTTTGATGCACTTTTTGCTAATTTGATGCACTTTTTGTGATGGCAAAAAAAATCTGATTAATTACGATAATGACACCATGTCTAGCATCACATTTTTAATATTTTTGACACTTTCCCCGCCATTAGATCTTAAATTGAACGCATCAGATGCATTCTCACTTCTTACGATAAGCACTATTCTCATTTGATTCTTATGTTTACCGGTGTATATGTATATACATGTACACGAAATTTCACATGAAACTAAAGCAGAAAATTATTAAATGATGATGACATTTCACAAAGCAATACATTTATATACAGTGCGACATGTCACCTCTCATGAATAAAGTTGGGATTGTTCTTATCTTTTTATTTAGTGATACACACCTAATATCTTTCATAATTTTCGTTTTTTTATTGAGTTGCATCAATTGATTATTTATTTTGTACGTTTCTGAATTAATTTTGGTATGATTATATTTTGGAATGAATAAACGAATACATCACATAGTCGCATTTAATGAAATTTTTATAACGTTAAGATAGCTTCGAGAAAAGATGTTTAAAAATAAATTGTATGAATACTTTTAAATTTCTTGAATAGTGAATTTCAGGGAAATCTAATGCATTTCTTCCTAAAGCAATACGTCGTATTGCATACATACTCAAAAAAATTCAGCCAATTTTAATTGAATTATCATAAATTTCATAGAATATTATTGGATCACCCTAGAATTGGTAGTTTTTTAAATTTCACGACTTTGAATCTTTGGGACTCCCTGAAATTTATACTGAAGACCCTTTCTAATACGGAATATTAGATGTTTAAATGCCGGGAAAGGGTTAGTATATACTCCGTATAAAATAATAATAATAATAATAATAATAATAATAATAATATAAAAAAAATATCTACAGAGTAAGCATGTTTTTACTTGGACTGTAATTTACTGGTCTAGTCTGGTCTGGTCTGATTTGGTCTGGTCTGGTTTCTTTGTATTTTTATAACTATCCAAGTCTGGTTTGGTCTGGTCTGGGACGAATTACAATCCAAGTAAAAACATTTTAAGTCTTAAACCCTTCCATTTCGGGGCCTCAACTAGATGCACTATCCGAGCCTAGTAATACTCAAATCGGTTGAATCGGTTGATTCTTCTGAAATTTATAAAGTTCTGGGTGAAGTGATTGGATTTATTGATTCTGCTGACTTATGAAAAAATAATATTTAAAATATACCCCTCGTCCCTTAAAACTTTGCCAATTTCCTTTTTTGGTTGTCTCATTACCTTTGTCACTTTTTTAAGTAAAGAATTTGTGGTTTTAGTTAATTCTCCTTCTTCTGCACAAACTTCAACCACACAGTTTTTACTTTATTAATTCTCGTGGCGATCAAACTTGGCCAAGTTTTAAGGCACAAAGGTAGTATTTTATTAATAAAAAAAGAAAATATTATATGACAAATAGCTAAAATGGTTATCTGCAGTAACTTCAGCCAATAGAATAAAAAAGGGAAAAATAATAAAAATACCCCAAACATTGAAAGGGTGTGAGATGAGCACCCCAAACTTGCATATGTAATTTAAATACCCTAAACTTTATATAAAAAGTTATTTTAGCACCATAGACAAGTATTATTTCTTTTAAAAATGTAAATTTATGGTGTTAGTTGCATAATTTAAAATAACAAAATTAAAGGTGTTGCAATTATATAGATTGGGGTTAGTATTATTTATTTCGCAATGGAAGTTTAGAATGCTTATTGTGTCTTCATGAATTCTAAAATATTTTAAATTATGCAATTAACACCATAAGGTTACATATTTGAAAAAAATAATACTTTACTATGGTGCTAAAATAACTTTTTATATAAAGTTTAGGGTATTTAAATTACATATGCAAGTTTGGGGTTCTCACACTCCTTTAAAGTTTGAGATGTTTTAATTATTTTTCCCAATAAAAAATGGTCATCGGCCTCCTTCATAAGCTCTTTATCTTTTGTTAATATTTGAAGTTTTACCTTAAAATATTAATTTGATCGGAGGAGTTGGAGATATATTGTCTAGATCATGCCATTGTTCATTCATTGCCTTTTTTTACTTTTAAGATATTAAAAGTAGCTCCTCATAATCTCATAGAATAGTTAGACGTGGAACAAACATATCAATACCCTCGGTCACAAGCAGACACTTCACTCTAATTGTGTCATCATTCATTGATTCGTCATATTGTCATCATCCATATGATTGACTTTGATACTATGTCACCACTAATCATGAACACAATCACCACTTCATCATCTCGATTATGCCATTATTCATTTTTGTCATTTTTATTTTGATGTACACCCCCATAAAATGCCCATGTATCAAAATGACTCTAAAATCATACTAAGGTTTAAAATTTTATTCTAAAAAGTTATCCTAAATGGAGGAGTAACTCAAAGTATTAATTATATAGGTATTTCATAGATCATATTGGCCCGAGACAAATACATAGAGACACACTTTAACATTATAAATTTATAACTTCTTTTTTCATGCATTTTAGCTTTGTTAGAGATATTTTTATGATTATGATACATGTATTTTGATTAGTCTTTTTCTAGAACTTATTAGACACTAAATAGACCTTAAAGGGCAATAGTATGCTTACCATAAAAGGAATGGGTCTCCTCATATTTAGAGCCCAATCATTATTTAACCTACCATTCTACAAAGGCTATATATATGCCCTTTGTAGAATGAGGTTAAAGAGGCTTTTTACGCAGAGGCTTTCCATACTTTCATCCCTGCGCATAGAATAGAGAGGTCACGGAAGATCTACGCAAACAACTCTTCATCATTCTGTAAACTTCTTGGCCATCAATGGAAAGCTTCCTATACACATATTCATATCCATCTTTACACATTATTGTAGTGTAGATCACAGGGACCAACACTTTTTTTTGTAATGTGGGCCCCTTATAGAAATGTGATGCATTGTTGTTGTAAATTGGGCTGGACATAGTTAGAATGTAGCCCAATCAGTTCGCACATGCCCCAGATATCGCATGGTGTAATTGCGCATCTCAGAATGGCGCACGAGTATTGAGCAGGAGGGAATTGCGCATGGGGCAAATAACGCATGTATAGAATTGCGCTTAGAGCAAATTGCGCATGGGTGTTGCGCATGACCCCAAATGGCGCATTGGTCATATCGCGCATCCCTAGAATCGCGCACCTGTTCATCGTCCTTATGTATACTTTGAACCTGTGAAGCAGATATTTTGAAGAAAGAGAATGAAACTTACACCGTTTGATGGAGATGAGCAAAAAAACTTGAGATCCAAAGGGGGATGAGCGAAACTCTGAGGAAGAAGGGGAGATGCGAGAAATTTTTTGCTCTGTGAAGTTGAGAGGTCTGAAGCGCAATAGGAGTGGGAAGGGGAGATGCGTGATTTTGGGATTTAAGTAGCTAGGCCCGGGAACAAAAAGGTTAAAGGGCCCAGATTTATTAGTTTTCATTTTTTTTTCAAACGCTCCCCCTCAGCACTTGCTTCTTTTCACAATGAATATTTATGAGACTCCGTTTCAATTTATGCATGATTTTGGAAAAAGCCCCCCCCCCCCCTGATTTATGCATTAAAAAAATTGACTTAAAAATGATGCATGTGAGAGAGAAAAATAAGAATGAGATGCATGAAAAAAAATAAAAATGCAAATTTTTGAAAAATGTTTTTAAGGGTAAGAAGAGCTGAGAGCAATCAACCGGTGCACATTATTAAGGGAAGTATTGGCGTGTATACTATCCCACTGAGCAGAAAATCAACAAATGGACACCTCAATACCAACACATGCCAAGAAGAAACGACAAGTGCTTATTCTGAGGGGGAGTGTTTCTTTTCCATTCCTCCCGGTGCCTTACAATGAAGAAAGCACATATCAAGGGTGAGTTTTCTACTTTACTCCCCGGGTGACAAACAACACCTTGCACATTCAGAGGGGGAGTTAAATTTTTCTCCTCCTGGCGCCAATCAAGGATCAATGCAAGGATGTCATGGCAGAACTAACAGCAATAGAGACCATCTAGGAGATCCAGAACGGGTACCCCATCAAGGAGAACAATTTAAAGCTGGACCCTGAGGTGTTCTAATGCCAAGATGAAGTGATCGTCGCCATTCTGAAAGGCCACAAACTGTGGAAGGCCTTAAGCGAATCAACGAAAGTTCCTGAAGTGTATCTCCAACAATTTTTGGGGAACACTTGACAAGGATACTAATGATGATCACAACGAGATTGATGACGTGATGACCGCCAAAATTGACGACACAAAGGTCACAATCACAAAAGAGCCGATGCACCAGGTGCTACAAATCCCAGAAGAGGATAACTATGACAAGCTGGCCACTAGGGAAGATATCATGGAGGGCATGATCACACTGGGCCATGCACAACCAATCAGGCTCATCTCCCAGACCAAACCCAGAAGACTACCACGTCCACAGAAGACTCTGATGTCTGCACTGAACAAGTGCTTTACTGCCAAGCACACTGGTTTCGACAAGTTCAACATTTACCTTTTGACCATCTTCCACGGCGTGTCATTCTTCAAGAACTACTACTATGTCTCGTTGATCTGGGATGACATCACGGAGTTGATACGAAAGAGGAAAGAGATCAACCTGATCAAAAATCTGCCATACATAACATGGTTTTCGATGCTGGTGCAACGTTTCAGCAGAACAACTCCAACAA